ATGCTCTTGAAATTTACTTCAAATACATGAAATTTATGACAGAAAGAATGTGTGGAAATTGTGCCACTGGATAAAGTGAGACTTACTTCCAGGTAGCCCTACAAAGAACGAAGTAATATATTTGAACAAAATAGGCATCACTGCATTCATTTTGGTAAGTCGTTTATCATTTGCTTTCTAAATGGTAAATAAAGCAGAAGTGTGCATGCACATGAAAGTTCATACCAATAACTAACTTTGTTGGTCTCTAAGGTGGTACTAGAAGGATTTTTATTTATTTATTTTACTTTGCTTCAAATTGAGTCATGAGACGACGTAAACTTATCAAAATGATTATGTGAGAGAATATTTATTTCTATAAAGGTGACCTACAGCCCCAATCCATATATATTTTGATTTCATGACCATTTCAAGGCTTTTCTGAATCAGCTTACAACTTTCTACTTTATAGTTCCACCAGGTTCTACCAACAAGAATAAAGGTATTCCTACAGTCAAAGAGCTATTTCAGGTTTTAAAGCAGAACATTCCAACACACCCTGAGTTCTTGAAAGGGACAGAAAGCTGACTCACATTTTTAACAGTCCAATTCTATGTACAATAAGCCCACAACTTACATGGGGGTTACATTGTGGGGATCGCACCTACAGCCCAAAGTGTATAGTCAAACACACTGGGTTCAATGGCAGGTGGGATTGCCAAAGTATTTTTCCTGGACTCCTACCCCCTTTCCTTTCTTTTGTTTCTTTTGGACAAAGCTGAATGCACACAAGTTAAATGAGCGCAAGTTGAAGGCTTACTTTATGTCTACTCTAAAGTAAGTACAATTGTCAGCATGCTATATTACATCATAACTTTTTTGCCAAAACATAAACAAACATATGTTCATCAACCATTGCTTATCTATCTCCTCCTTTCATTTGCTCCATTGAAACACACTAGGGACACAAATCATTTGCCTTCAGATGTAGCACTCAAATGCAGACGATTTCTACAGTGTAGCTGAAGTCCTCCCTGCTATACATACACATAAGCAGTTATATGGGCCATTAGGGGAGAACAGTAGACCTTTGAACACCTGCCACATCCCATTCAGCATTCTCCCTCTATTTGGTGGATGGAGAAGCAAAATGGTGGGTTGGATGGAAAGATGGTAGGTGTGCACTGGCCCTACTATTCTCACTGTCACGCTGCCTGTATGAACACAGGTAGAGGAGAAAACAGATCTTGTCAGTCTAACAGGATTCCTCTGCATGTGAGAGTGCATTGTATCCACAGTGAACTAGATCATGTCTGAAATTTCCAAGATATATTCAGGGTTAAAATGTGAATTCTAAATTGTTACAATACACACATACACATTAGGGGGAAATACACCTATGGGGGGGGGGAGATACACATAGGGGATATCTTCCACATGTTTTGCCTTCATCATTAATACTTTATATGCCACATCCTGCTCACAATCCTGGCCTGACATCTTGTTAGTCATGCTGCAGTGGCACAAAGGTTAGGAGCCCCTTATCCCCATTAATTTCAGGACTGATAATTTAGCCATATTTAAACACTGAGACTGTTCAGTTTGTACCAACCAGTGATAAAAGGCAAAATATAAATCTGGTTGAAATGTTTCTCTATAAAACCAGTATGAAATGAACAGACTCAGATATCTGAACTTAGGTAAACCATCTGAACTTAAGTAAACCAAGAACTTAGTTGGCTGCATTAAAGATGCACTGAAATAGTCTTACAGTGCAATCCTATGCATATCAATTTATGAAACTTAATCCAGGTAAGTGTACATAGACTGTAGCATTAGAGGCACCTACTGAGACAGTGCAAGAGCGAAAAGAAATAACTGAAATAACTCTGTAGTTATGCAAGAGAAAGTTTAATATTGAAATAGCAACTGAAATCACAGTAAGGGCAAAGTATCATCCTTTATTCAGCTGGTAAAATCCAAAACAAAATGACCAAAATCTTTCCAGTGTTGCCAACCAAGTGCATTCCCTTCGGTCTGAATTTTTCTTTTAAACTAATATAAAAGGCCAACTGGGGCCTTACTGATATAAGCTACCTTTTAAAGCATGTTGCTACAGTGTTTTCAGTCTGCAGATACTTAACAGTTGCAGTGCTAATGCAGTCCTGGTGTTCTGGATTTAGCTTTCTGCACCATTTATGTTGGCCCTATCTCTACACTAAAGCTAATTTTTTTACTGTGTCACTTCTTTCCTTTAAGAAAAAATATATGGCAGCAAGACAATAAAATAAAGTTCTTTTTATTTGGCACAGAACACAGTTACCCTAGCCTAATGGACCACTAGATGATGCTGAAATCCAGCCAGTTTTCTTGCTGCTGACCAACAGTTTTCCTTTCCTATCATTCCAATATGCAGGTCAGAGGCCCATTAATAAAAATGCAGCTTTTCCTGGGCCTTACTACACACAACCAGAACCTCAGGGAACTGTGTAAATATAGTCAAGTTAAAAGGTCAAGCAAGGACATAAGAACATACCACTAAAGCAAGATCGTAAAAACCAGTAACAACATTCATTAAAAAAGAAAACAACTAAGATATGGTTTGACTCACATCCAAACTATAAACACTAGATGTATGTATGTGTATATATATATGTGTGTGTGTGTATGTATATGTGTGTGTGTATGTATGTATGTATGCATGCATGCGTGTGTGTGTACTCCCATTGTTCTAGGTGCATTTTGTGACAGGGAATTTCATTAGCACAAGCAGAATGGAAGGAAAATAGGACCTTTTTCTGCCTTCCCACTTCCAGCTACTCTCTGAAGACTGGAGAAGAGACCCTCTTAGGAATATTGGGGGGGGGGGGCAAGGAAAAGATTAGACCATGTGAAAAGTGAACATAATATTTTAGCTGCAGTTCATTCATTTTCAGCTCTGTACTCTTGCTATTAAAAAAGTGTGCTTAGACATTTCATTGTTGCGCCCATAATCTAGATTTAAGGTGCCATTTAGCTCCTAGCTTTCATATCAGAGTTTCTGACACTGCCTAGTGCAACTTGTTAATGGTAAGTGTTTAAGGGTGAGTCGTCTCAAAATCAATTAATTGGATTTGTGCACAATTTAAAACTTTAGCCTAAAAAGGACCCAAGAATTGCCCAACAACCATGGAAATGGATGGCAATACATGGGAATTCAGACCCCTTAGAAAGCAAGACAGATGGCACTAACTCCAACAAGCAAACTAACACCATAAAGCATTAGCTACTGAGTCAAGGCTATATAGAGGGATCAGGTTTGTGTTTTAAAAAAAAAAAAAAGCTTATTTATCTTTTAACAATTGGCACTAATAACCCATACAGTCACTGTTCCAAATGAGACAGAATCTGTTCACAGCTTAGCACAACCTTAAAAGGGTTATCCTATCAAAATGGTACTCTATGAGCCTCATCTTCCAATTCAGATCCTGTTTACCAAGAGCTAATAATCTGACAAAGAAACCAAGCCAATTCCTGACATTCCACAGAACCAGGCCAGAAATGAAATGTACAGATGGATAAAAAAGAAAAACACTTATCACATTGCTGGAGAAGTTCATTGCATTTTTGAGCAACATACATCTGCCAGAAGTACCACAAAGCACTGTGGGTTAATAAAAATATGGCAAAAACAGTAAGGAAAGAAAGCAGATGAAATAAATGATTTGTTCTTTCAAGTTAGGATGTGAAGCATCCTAAACAACAAGCTTTTGTGCATGACATTATAAAATATGCCCCAAAAAGTATTTTATCTAAATGTTCTCTTCCTAGGGAGAATCACTGGCATACTTTACAATGGGTATCTTAAGCACCACATGCAAAGGAGACTACAGGTTATTGCACCATTATCTCATAGCAATCACAAGCCAATACACCAAATGATATATCTCAGTTCCTTTACAGCAGAGCTCAAAACCCTTACCACAATAAACAAATCTGAACGCCACTACACCCTAACATTTTAATAAGTGTTGCACTTAGCTTGTTCATTAAAGGTTGTTTTGTTTTTGTTTTTTAGCATAGCTATTCAGAAAGCAATGTTGTTGAAATCCAATATCCAAACTGGGAGGGGAGAGATTTTAAACCACAGTGCTAACCGCCCTCTGCCCCCCCCCCCCCTGCAAGATTAGGTATGAAGCTATCAACCTACTGAAATGAATGCTCAAGTCAAACTTAGCAGCAGAGAAGGGTGAAAGACTAAATTAAGCATCCATCTTAATACTAGCACCCATCTAAGGGGTTACAAAGCTGGTGGAGATAGGGGGAGGGGAGACTAGTGATAGTGTTGTGAATGAATGAGAGAAGCTTTTCTTCCCGTAAGTAGAAAAGGGATTAGAGATATCTGAAAACAGCAGATTAGCTGATGTATCTCTCTGTGTAGACAAGAGAAGGAATCTAAAGTAACTCAGTTGTTTGGAGGAGAAGGAGGGGGGCGTTTGGGGAAAACATACACACTTTTCTAAGAGCCAGAGAATGCCATTCAATTGTAACTACGTTGGCCAGGCAGGCTGGGTGTGTGTGTGTGTGTGTGTGTGTGATGATACCCACCCGTCACCCTTACAATCACTTAACATCACAGCTCTGTTGACATAGGTAGCTATGACATTTTTAAAAATAAAGGAACACGGAGTGAACTCGCCGCCCGCGATTGTGCCAACAGAGACATTATATTCGATGCATTATATCTCATTTATGGGGCATTGGGAACTCATACTGAGAAGAGCTCCCTATATGTGTAGGCCGAGTTGGCGTGGGGAAACGCAGGGGAAGAGAGGGGTTGTTTATGGCTGGGCTCTCCTCTCGACGAGACAGATAAATTATCCCCAAATGAGATACATGGCGAGGGTGGTGGAGAGAGAGAGAGAGAGAGAGAGAGAGAGAGAATGGAGTGGGGAATACTGTACTGCAAGACCAGCAAGAGGAGATTGAGGTGAGTTTCGGGGGGAAGCTGCCTGAGCCACGGCTCGGGGGTAGAGAAATACCTGGGGGCTCCTGTCGGCCGGGTTTTTCATGACCGCCTGGCGGAAGTTGTTATCCACGTAGGACGCCATCTCGCCCCTTCTCTGCTCCGGGCCGAACTAGGCGCCCCGGCCCCTCCGCTCGTCTCCTGCCGCTCGCGAGCGCCTATTCCTGGCCCCGAGGCGAGGCGGGCTTCTCAGAGCCCCCAGCGGCGGGCGCCGAGAGGGAGTTGGGGGAGAGAGGCGGCTCCCGCTGACCGCCCGTCACTCACTCGGGCCGCCGCTCTTTCCTCCTCCTCGGCGGCGGCGGCGGCGGCGACCAGCCCCTCGGCCTCAGCAGCGCCGCCGCCCGGTCGGGGCCTGTTGCCGGCAGCAGCAGCAGCAGCAGCGACTCCCAGTTCCGCCTCTGCCGGGCTTCCCGGCACTGTCTTCGGCGTCCTCGCCGCCGCCGCGGTCGTCGTCTTCGCCCTGCTTCTCCCGCCTCAGCCGCCGCCGCATCCCCTCAGGCGGCGGGGCGGGAAAGGGGCCGCCGCGTCCTGGCCGCGCTCGGGCTCCGTCTCCGGCCTGGGGAGGGAGGGAGGGAAGGGGCGGCGGAGCTGTGCCTGAGGGGAAGCAGGAGGAGGAGTGTTGTGGTCGGGCAGGCCGAGGCTCACGGCGGGAGCGGCCTCCAGCGCTCGCTCGCGCTTTGTGCTGCTGCAACCATGGTGAGGAGACGGAAAGAGGGAGCAGCGCCCGGCCACACCGGCAGCGGCGGCGGTGGCGAAGACGACGAGGAGGAGGAGCCGCACCGCCTCAGGTTCCCGCCCCTCGAGCCCTGCTGGTCTCCTCAGCCGCAATGCAAAGCGCCGCCGCTCTCCTCGCAGCGGGGTTCAGGCCGCGCTGCCACAAAAGACTCCGGAATGCCTCGCTCCCTCCGAGAGCCGCGCTGCTTCTTATCCCTCTTCCTCGCCTTGTTGTGGTGTTTTGTTTTCTTCGCGCGCTGCCTGGTAGTAACCCGCTATGGGCAGCCTTGCAGGCACGAACTTCGCGGGAGGAGGGGGGGAACGCAAAAGCTCCCGCTTGGGGAAGTTTTCGGCAATAAGAAGCCGCTTTCCAGCTTTATTCCGCGGACTGGCAATGCCCCGCTTCACCCGCCACTAGCACGCGCTGGAAGAGGGCGCGCCCTTGCGAATGGGTTTCTGAAGAGGTTCTCTAGTTTCTGGCATCAGCGCGAGCCACGTGAGAGACGCTTTGCAGCCTGCGATAACCCCATTCCGTTGAGATATGTTGCAAAGGTGTTGAGAGTGGTCTACTGGTCAGAGAGAAGGATGTGTGTGTCAGTGTCAGAATGCCAACAATAATGAAGCAGGAGGAAACCTGCGGGATGAGGGCCACCCACATGGTTCCTGGACCGACGAATGTTTCGCCACCCTGTATCAACGTTCAGGGGCAGCATCCTCCCACCTCTTTTAGCTGCACAACAACACCGGGAAGCAAGACTGAGAGAGAGGGATTGGCACAAGGCCGTCCTCTGACATTTACCCAGTGATCTTCTTCAGTGAGGGTTCTGAACCTAGGGCCTAATCCAGCAGTCTAAAATTCTATACTGGCTCTCTCAAGTGTTCACACAGTGGTAGAGAAAAAACACCAGCAGTGAGGCTTTCAAATGGGACTTGTTGTGCCTCTTGCAAGATTTGCCACATGCCTCTAAATTCGCGTGAAGAATTTCTGCACCAGCACTGGATACTTTGAGGCAAGGGTCACCTGTATGGTGCCTCTGAGTGCACATGCCTTTCCTGGTTCATCTAGGGTCCCATCCCACAAGAAAGAAATGATCTACTGTAGCCGGTTAAAGAGTTGTGCTCTTGGTTATGGTGTGTGTTCTGTGACCATGGCAGTTTCTCCAGTTTGCGCAAAGAGGTTGGCAAACTGTGGGAAATCAGCTGCTGGCTTGAACATTGGCTATGTCTTTAGTTGAACTGGTCGAACTAGATCTTACAGGCATGTAATGGGGAGTTCCCATGTGAAAACAGTCTCAGGAATATATTATATGTTTACAAACAATGAGCTGGAAAGGACCTTGGAGGTCCAACTCTGTGTCTAACTCTTTGCTCAATGCAAGGTCTGCCATGCAAGATGCAATTATAACATCCCTGGCCAATGGTCATCCAGTCTCTACTTAAATACCAACAGCAAGAGAGAGCCCACTACCTCTTGACAGTGGAATAGCACACTTGCCATTGGGAAGCTTCCCCTGCTGCCCTGAAATTTCCACTGTTACGTCTCATGATGCCCAATAGTGCAAGAGAGAGCAAAGTCTGCTCCATGTTCTGCATCATAGTGCTTCAGATATTTGAAGACCACTGTGTCCTTAATCTTCTCCAGGATAAACATACTCAGCTCTTACAACTTTGTCACAGGACTTTGTTTTTAGACCCATGCTGATCACTTTCGTCTGTACACTTAGCCTTCTTAAAACATGACCAGAACTGAGCACATGACTTCAGATGTGGTATGACCAGCGCACGATAGAGAAAAAATACTACTTCCCATGATTGGGACACTGCTTTTGATTGTGCAGTCTACTCTTTATTTATTTATTTTTTTAACTAGAGAGAGAGAGAAAGAAAAAGAGAAGAAAAATACCTGTCACGCTACTAGCTCATGTCCAACTTGTGATCCACTAAGACACCTAGATACTTTTCACATGGATAGACTGACTATCTAAAATAAAATGTAGGAGATCATTCTTCCTGTATGACGTCTTCATGCATGATTTTGCTCATGCCTCCCTAATTCTATAGTAATCCATGACATCAAGAGTCCAAATGACCCTCCTGAGCTAACCATTGTTCTTCAGACACTGAGATGAAGCCTATCCTTGGCTGCTTTTGTATAGTTTATACCAGCAGAAACCTAGCTTATAGCTTATTAGCATTTACCTCCTGAAACCTAGTTCTGCAAATCCCTTTATTATGCCTCAACATCTGTACAAGTTCCTAAATGTGCACATAAGGCATATGCTCTCTTTTGTTTTGGCAAAACTATTTTGGCTGCCCTACATCAATTGCACCACCTCAACCAGCGAAGCTAGAATGCATTACTGTGCCCTTCCCTAACTTTCAAAGGAAGTTTTCTTTGTGGCATCTATGACTGGTGCTCTTTGAAAGCAACCCCAAAGCCTTGTTGGATAAACAGATTGATTAAAAAAAAAAAAGAAATCATCCAAACGGTGTACTGATAAAATTCTAGGCAAAACTTGGCTAAAATCCATGAAAACAAATAGTCACAAAACCATAATTAAATCAATAAAAATTTAAAACAAATAGCACTTACCTTTATAGCGTGCTTTAGAGGTGTTCAGAGTGCTTCACATTCGTTATCCTGTAATCCTTACAAAAGCTTTGTAAGATAGGTTTATAAAGTTTATTACCTTTATATTGCATATGCAGGAGAAGGAAGTGCTAAGCCTAAGAAAGAGTGACTGTTTCAAGTGAGTGCATGGTAGAGGCAAAATTCCAAGTAAGTATTTCCTAGTTTGTCAATCATCTCTTAGTTGGCTATCCTATATTAACTATAATCATGCTACTAATGCAGTTTTCTGAGTTGTTGTTGGCATCTGTATGCCTCGAAAGACAATGGAAGAGTGTGCCATAGGGGGTAAAGTCAAATCATTGGAGAGTTACAGTGCCTGCTGTGGCTGTAGAGACCAATATGGGAGAGACATGCTTTATTGTAGCTGGGGTAGATAAAGGCGTCTGGTTTTGCTGATTCAGATGCACCATGGTTATTTAGGCTTAAGACTAACAACAGTAAAAGATAACAATATATTGCATGTGAGGAGATACAACAAAACCAATAATAAAACAACAGGCTCTGTGCACTAGATATGGGACCCAAAATTTGCAGGGCAAATAGTATGTTGGGCCCATATTTTGAGGGAGGGCGGGAGGGAGAGAGTATGTCATTCTCTTGGCATAGCTACTTTTCTCACTTCCCCCCAAGTTCGCCCACAGCTGACAAATGTCCTTGCAGAAGAGCAAAAGCAAATTTATAATACAATTTAACACCTCATTTTGTATTATGTAATGGATTTTGCTTGTATTAAATTGCTTAAACACTTACATTTGTGCTTGCCATAGCATTGCACATTACCATAGATGCTTAAATAGTAATTACATTTGTTGCAGCAACACTTCTAAGCAAGGTGCAAGTCTGTTAACTGCACTTGCTTCCCATAAACAATTTGTACTTTTTATGCCCTGGCCTGTTACAGAAACAGTCTGTAATGTTAAGGAAGCGCATAACAACCACTTGATGATAGTCTAGCACCAGTGCAAGTTAATATGTAATAATAAGTAAAATATATGTAGGAAATATGGTTTTGAAAAGATGGTCCTTAATTGGCCGGCTCAGTTTCTCCATACGAAATCTTTATCCCATTGCATACATAGAAAAATAAAGTTTAGTATGATATCCAAGTCCAAAGTTTACAAAACCTCTGGCTTCCAAGGCCACTGCAAAAAAAAATTCTGTGCATGAGGGACAAGGTGGCGAGGGTTTGCTGTAAGAGATCACAGCTACCTAACCCACCAGTGCTGCCAAGTGCAAGCTAGGAGTGAGTGGGTAGGGGAAACACAGCACAGGTGTGGAAAGCAGATGGTCTCAAGTAAATCCAAGCTCTGTTATCCGAGGCTCACCCCAGGCCTTTGCCTCAGAATCACCTTCTAATATGGCCATCCCTCTCCTCCATACAGCCTCTCCACTATATTATGTATTTAATGCCTCTTCTACTTCTTTCTTCTGTTAACGTATGTCTGGTCTGAACTGAACTGAGAGTCACAGGTTTCAAGCTCCGACTTTAGGGCTTTAAAAGTAAGCACCAGCACTTTGAATTAGGCTTGGAAGTGAACGAGGAATCAGCCAAGCTCTTTTAAAACTGGCAAGCTGTGATCCGAAGGAACTTGACCAGTTAAAAATACAGGGAGCAATATTCTTAACTGGAGCTTCTGAGCCATCTTCAAAGGCAGCCCCACATAAAGTACATCATAATCTAACCAAGAGGTTATTGGGGTGTAGATTACTATGGATAGAGTAAAGTATATCTTCATTTTATTCATTGAGGGGTGTTTTTTTCTTGTTCACTTC